CTAACTGTAAGGACATGACAGTCAGCCCTAACCTCATGGCACTGTGGTTTTCCTGCCCAGAAATGAACTGCTCTATTCCAGTCATTAGAGTGCTCAGACCTGAGTAATAATTTACATAGGTCCCCTGTGATGACTAAAGAAATTTAATATGGAACCAGGCATCCCTTAAGGGCCATTGACCTTTTGCTCTGGAATGCCTGGGAGATCCTAGTGGCCTGCAGGTGAGAGAAGAATAAGATAATGGGCTGTGAGGTATTAACAGCCGCCTTTGCTTCTGTAAAACCTGCTATTGCTATGGGAAAGGGGATGAAATGGTCTTTTATTACTATATAGAGGGAAGAAAAAGACAACTGAGGGAAGTAAACAGTTTTCTTGCCCAGCTGTGAGACCCATGGATATTTGGAATGCATACCTTTCTGATGTCAGTCCTTAGCCACACCCCTTAACCTCCACTTCTAGCCTGGTGTAAGGCTGCAGTCCTTCAGCTAGGCAGGAGAGCTGGCCCTGCCCCTCACCAGCTGCAGCACTAGGGAGAGCGGGTCCTGCACCTCACCTGGGCAAACACAGTAGAGCTGGCCCTGACGGTGTGGGTGTGGGTGAGCTGCCCTGGGGGCAGGAAAGCAGTAGAACTGGCCCTGCCTCTTGCTACATGCTACATGGGGGGAGGGGGACAGGGTGGGGGGAAGGGGGAGTGCAGGAGAGCTCACCCTGGTGGCAAGGATGAGGGAAAACTGGCAGGCTGACAAACCCAGCTACCACCCAGGCCCAGAACCAGGGCTATGAGTTGGCCCACCAAAACATCCACCCCATCTGTGAACTGCTGGAGCACATGAAGGAACTGATCCTGGAGATCCAAAGCTGCAAGATCTCAATGACACGGGGCAATAACAGGATATCCAGGAGTCGCCCAGTGAAAGCCCAGTATTGATAGTGAAGCAGAAGCCAGAGGCCTTGAACCAGACCAATGACGCACTGCAATGAACACTTGCAAGTAAAGATGTATGGACTAAAGGGTACAGTGTGTGACTCACAGTGACACACTACAGCTTTGGCAATGAGATTTTTTTTTTTCTTTTAAATTTTATTTACTTGAGGGAAAGGCTGCAAGGGTAGAGGGCAGATACAAAGGGACAGGGAGATGAATGGGATCAGGATGCATCATGTGAAATCCACCAAGAATCAATAAATAGTTTTTTTTTTTAAAGAATAAATTCATTTAATTTAAATTTGAATTGAGTCTAGGTCTCTGATTTCTCCCAGAGGACTTAAACACCACAACACTAACTTGATGTCAAATGAACAGAGGGTACCAAACAAACCTTGTAGTAAATGGTACACTCAGGCTCTCACATCGGTGCATTGTTGCTTCTGCCAAACACCTGAATCTAAACTCTCCTCCTTGACTGTCAAAATAATGAGGCAAACCCTGGGAAGGAACTGCGCTCTTGAATCTTGGAGAATATTTATGAAGGTGAGCACAGTGAACAAATAAAATCAATGGTAGAAAAAAAAAAAAAAAAAAAACAATACAAAACGTGCTTCCTTGTTGCCCCAGGCAAATCTGTAACGGTAACAACAGAATCTAATCAGTAAACTTCCCAGCTGCCAAAATTATACGAGTAACTTGCCTATTTAAAAATGTCACATTTCCCAGCTGATATAAATATTTGCCTTCTGCTTACATTCCTAAAGTGCAATACAAATTAGGCCACACACTGAAATTCACCTTGGCACAAAGTATTTAATTTCTTTCTTCCTTTCAAGTGACCCAGATTGTACATTATGAAAATTGGGAAACCCTGGTGGCCTTTTGGTGATTAGAAAAGATCACTGCAGACTGAACCGACTGTCAGCCATCAATTCACACATCATTTCACACAAGAGACAGTCTTAACTACTTCATTCAAGTCCAGTGAGACTTGCTTCAGCCTCAGTAACTGTTTATACACAAATGCAAGACCTCCTGCTGCCTAGTTTCTGGAAACATGATACTAGTGAGATCTTTTCATTCAACTTTTTAAAAGAAAGAAAGAAACCTGGTAACTGAATAGTATACTTGACAAATGTTTTTAAAAAGCAATGCCACAAATAATAGGAAAAGCTGATGTAAAAAAAAAATTAAATTTGCCAGCCACATTGGCTTACGGTGGTTCAGTGAAAGGTATCCACCTCTCCCTCATATACTTGCCTGGTGTTTAGCATTGTTAAACAGTGCTAGAATCTCACAAATCACTATTAACATTAGTGATACACTCTAAGTTCTTGTTGTAAGCAATACTGATAATTTCCATGTAAATAGGCAAAGATGTTAGGGATGGTAAAATGTGACTCCCTAATTAGCAGCTGTTATCCCATGTTACAGTGGTAGCCCTCAACATTTAACTTGTAGACAGCCAGGCAGATAGCACTGATGCTTATACTGGCTGTTCTCAACCCTCTACAGACACACTGAGAAAAATCCACAGTGGCCACACAATGAGCTCCTGAAGTACATTCACTCTCCAGCAAAACAGTGTCCTTTTCACTGGAAGAGCTCTAGAGAGCTTTCAAGTCTGGAGGGCCAAGGCTCTTCAATACCCTTGGCCCTGGAGATACAAAACTGGCCCTGCCAAGGGCTGGGGTATGCCAACTCCCTGAGCCTACACTTATAAAACTAAGGGCCATGGTACCCTAGGCCTATACAATAGCTGAACTACCAAGTGGAGCAAAGGGGCCCACTCATCAGAGCCAGGAGGGGAGTTACACTCTAGAGGGTGCTACATGCTGCTGCTCCCTCCTGTCTGTGGCTACCACTCACTGCTCTCAAATGCTAAAGGATAAAAAAAAAAAAAAAAAAACTGCCAAATACCACCACTCACAGAGATTCTCCTCAGCTATCCACAATTTCTACTGGGGAGAGCAAAAGAACACCAAGCCGTATGACTGACAAGTACAGACCTTTTCACTGCTAGCAGGAAGTAAGAAACTTCACCACAATGATGCCCAAAACAGGCTCTCTCCTGCCCGCCTATAAAACTTTTATCTTGGAAATGTTTTATATAGAGACGAGAATCAGTAGTCTTAATGTGTCAACCTCAAACAATACCAGAATGGCTAAGAATGCAGTTCATGGGATGTCACCAAAGAACTAGTGAATTAGGTTTTCTTATGGGTGCAGGACATAGAAATCTGCCTTGTTTTTAAAAGCAAGCTTTACTCCCCAAATCAACCAAAACAGGTGCTTTATCCTTCCTGGCTCTCCCTTAATCAGTTCTTACAAAATTCAGAGTCACTGGGGTATGACATGTGGAAGCAGAACAAAAAATTTTATTGTTTCAAATTCTCAAAGCCTTACCAATTCAAGTAGCCCAAAAAGCTAGGGGAGGGGTCTACATATCAAGTGACAAGCAGTTGCTACTCCAGATCAACTATCCACAGTCACTTTAATGCCTATCTAGTCATAACAAAAACTCTTCTCCCAACAATAGCAATAACTTGTGGTTATTATGACTAAACAGTGTGACAGCAGGAAAAGGTCAACTAAACCACATGGGAACATCCCTGTGCCTAAACTTTAAGGTTAACTTCAAGATGTCCTCTCACATTCAATAAAGAGCCAGGGTTTTCTGCTGTCCCTATTGTTAATGTTTGCTTGCTTTTCTTCGTGATAGGTTCACATGAAGCCTAGTGTTGTAGAATATTATTTTAAGATGTGTTACATTTGTTTATGCTGTGGAATATTTGTTTGATGGTGCAAAGATGTGTTGCATTCTTTTATGTTGCATCTGTTTGACTCTGTGAAGCTGTGTTACTTTGCCTGCCTAAAACACTTAATTGGTCTAATAAAGAGCTGAACAGCCAATAGCAAGGCAGGAGAAAGGATAGGCATGGCTGGCAGGCAGAGAGAATAAATAGAAGGAGAAATCTGGGGGGGAAGATCAAGGAAAGGAGAACTCCAAGGGCAAGCTACCCAGTTACCCAGCCACTCAGCCACCCAGCCAGACACAGAATAAGGAAAGAAAAGATATACAGAAATAGAGAAAGGTAAAAGCCCAGAGGCAAAAGATAGATGGGAGAATTTAAGTCAAGAAAAGCTGGCTAGAAACATGCCAAACTGAGGCTATGCATTTATTTATCAGTGAGAATTAAGTCTCCGTGTGTGATTTATTTGGGAGTGGGTGGCAGGCCCCTCAAAGAGCCCAAAGAGTGAAAAAACAACCAACTAAAGCCAGCCTAGCCTCAAACTGGCTATGTAGTCAAGGATGACCTGAATTTCTGATACTCTTGTACTGATATTACCTCATGTGCCACCACATCCAGTTTTAATGGTGAGCTGAGGGTAGACATCAGGACTTTACTCGTTCTGGGCAAACACTCTTCAGTTGAGCTATATATATCACCAGCTCAAACTCCAAAGGTCCCTTGAAGAAATATACTTGTGCTTATACAAAAATGCTAACCAGGAAAGGAGAAAGTAATCCTTCATATGAACATCAGTGGATTAGCATAAGGCCCCTTTCAGTGGATTGTGGAAAAAGGACTCAGAAAAAGCAGTCACTACATGTGTTCACTTATATATTTCATAAATTTTTAAAGGCAAAATTCTGCATGTTATTATTGTTTATTTTGTGATCAATTTTTATATTTTTTATGATTTTTATGGTCAATTGCTGTTTTACATTTTCCTTTAAAATAATATCAATTTACAAGACCGTTCTTCTGGGAAATAAGGCAATAACTTTATAAGAGCTATATGTGACATGATTATTTAATAGTTTAATTTATTCTGAATTTAGGGGGAAGGAAAAGGACAGCTCTATATCAACTAGACCAAAGGTTTTATAAGTTTCAAAAGATAGATGGGGTAAAAGTTTTTGCTTTTCAAAAAGAAATTTCACAACTTCAGTTTTCTTACATCAAGGGAGGTAAGGTAAAGATTGCCAAAAATAACAAAGCAACATAAATCACTTGTAGTTTCTAGAAAGAGGTCATACAGTATGAAAAAGACAGAGAGCACATACCCTTGTTCATCTGGGGCTCACTCTCCTCCATGTCCAAATCTTCTAAGTCTAGGAAGTTGTCCACCTACAAGAAGATTGGGATTATCTTACATATATTAGACATGAAGAAAGGCAATGTAGTCAGGGACCCACACACACAGCTGAGGGCTGGTTCTGCTTTCCTGTGACCTCTCCAGGCCCAGTTAAAAGCCGCTGTATGCATATGCTTTCCCATCTGCAGAAGCATGACATTTGCAAGCCCAGGGTTTTAAAACACCACAGCCTGCTCTCTACAGCAAAAAGGAAAACAGACTGGGTTTCTTGTAAGAGACTCTGTTCCAAATTTTCTTCCCAGAATTTTTATCAGAGGAGATTGCAGGTTCCGGGTTTGGGTTTGCCTGCTTCTCAAGCAACCAGTGATGGATGGTACAGCCAGGACCCTTCCTCACAGCATAGAGAGCCAGAGAGAGGAAGCTAAAGACCGCAGGAAAGAAAAGGTCATTCAAAACAAAAGCATGCTGCCCAGGTAAATCACAGGAGGGGTCAGCAGGACAAAATATCAAGTGTTCTCTCTTTCAGGCCAATAAAACTGAGAATTACTTCAAAGGCAAAAGGCACAGCAAATAACCTCCCAGACCCACTAGCAGCATTTCAATGAAGACCTAGTCCACATGGAATACGGCTTCCCACTGCACACTGACAATGAGGCATCTCAGGGGACCAGCAAAGAATGTAAATAAGGAAAGGCTGGCACACGGCACGAAGTAAAGACACAAGGTCGCCACTCGTTTTATGCTCACAACCTGAATGTAGAATTAACAAAATATCTTAAAGTTACAAATGGAGATTCCTTAACTGCAATTCAAGACAGTCTGTGTCTTTCTGTCCTGAGCTGAACGTGGAACGTGTAGTGGGCAGACCATGCTGACCCCACAGAAAGGGAAAATGATGGCTTCCATGCTGCTAACCTGGTAACAGCAACTATGACTTAGCATGCAAACTCAAAAGCAAAACTCACCTTCCAGATGTTTCAATACTAAAATTTGAGAATCAGCTACATTATAGCATCTTTCCTAATGATCATGCTAAAATTCCCTTCCCATTTGTTAAACCTTAAGGGAACAAAGATCCAGAACCCAGTCAAGCACAAACAGTTTAAGATGTTCCAACACCAATTTTAAAAAAGAAAACCTTACAAGGATAAATCTGGTGACTCTCCAGTTCTGTACAAAGAAAAGCACGAGTCTACTGTTTGCCTGTTGGTTTGTATGAGAGTTAAAGTAAGGGCTGTCTCCCACAGGCTCTAGTAACTGAATACTTGGTGCCAGTCAGTGATGCTGCTTAGAGAGGTTTAGGAGGCAAAGCCTTGCTGGAGGAAGCCTGTCACTGGAGGTGGGCTTTGAGAGCAAAAAGCCTTGCCTGCTTCTAGTTCACTCTCTCTGCTTCCTGCTTGTGGTTGAGGTTGCGAGTTCTCGGCTTCCTGCTGTCTGCTGCTTGTTATTATGCCTCCCCACCATGACGGACTTTTATCTATATACTCTTTCTTTCCAAGTTGCCTTGGTCATGGTGATTCATCATAGGAACAGGAAAGCTGCTAATACACTTGTTTATGTGTGTTCTTCCCAAGGCAGATAACTGACTCTGGCCTTACCTTCACCTTTCCAGCCCGGGTCATATCACCTTGAAGGAAGCTGCCAACTTGCTGGCCTTCATCAATCACTATCTGAAGACACAGTAAGGACACACAGTCAGGAAATAATAGTTTCTGCTCCTAGCAATATATGCAAGACCAGATTCTCTAAGCTATAGCAATGGTGAATGGATAGGTTTCAGCAAGTCTAACTGCAATTCTGGTACCCTAGACTCACGCAACATATAGCAGGTGACTTAACTCAGCATGCTTATGTATAAAACAGACAGCTGCTCCACCTCCTAGTCAGGCCCGCAATGAACCTCTGATATACAAATCAGAGACCACAGCTACAATATAACAATTCTAGTCCTCTCTACATTTAATAGAATCTCAATCATCACCAGTAGAGTGTGAATCCTTTATGGAAAATATCTCATATCTCACACTAGAAGCAAGCTCTAAGAAAAGGGATTATAAATCACTGTTCTACACAAACACATTTCTATCACAGAGGCTTCTGACCCTTATAAAAACAAAATAGTGTAATTCTGTCCATAATATCACAAGGAAAACATTGCAAACAGAAACAAAAACTCAAATGATTTTTTAAAAAATTAATCAAAACTCAAATGGCTTGAAAAGAGAACACTAGGAATTATCATTCCTTGATAATTAAAGACAATAGACAAAGAGGAGATGAATACTGTTGATGAGGCCTTGATGATTAGAGAACACCATCTAATATCTACAAACCAAATCTTAGAAAAAAGCAAGATAATGTTTTCTACTTTAAGTCTAAATGTGATAAATTTAGGACAGGAAAAAATCCAGTTTATACAAAGAAGTAGAAAAGGGAACTCTCTTCTTAAAAACAAAATATACAATTTTATGAAGCATTTACACATGGAAGAGTGCTAAGAAGTTTTCACCAAAAACTGAGAACTATCAAACTCTGGCATGTAAAGACTTAATTCTCAATAGAGCGCTGTTCCAATGGCCACTCTTCCTAGGAAGAATGCTTTCTTCTTCAAGCTGTTTCTATAAACATAAGACAGAGTTACCTGCTCATCTTCTGAGCATTCGGATGAAGTATGAGGAAAGACGGCTGTATTTCTAAAATGATGACCATTTGACTCATTTTTATGGGTCAATGTTTCAGCAGTAAATATATTTCCTGATGAATCAGTTCCATGTGCTCCCCCTTTGGCCACATTATCCTCTGAAATGGTAAGTTATGAATTATTAAAAAAACACCTACTGTGGTCAGATTGTTTCTTTTGTGTTTACTGAAAAATTTTCATTCCTTCCCCCCCCTCAAAAAAAGAATCCTTCTCAAAGAACTATGTAAGTAGAAGTTTCTTGAAGACTTAACTACTCTTAAATATAAATAATACTCTTTCAACAGCTGATGAATATTGTCTACTATATACCCAGCACTATTTTTTTACCATTGTTAAAAAGTTCAAGAAAGTACAGTTCCCTCAAAATTGTGAGACATTATTTATCTCATTTTCCCTTAGGTTTGGAATTTTTTTCCTCATATGGAAGCAATGTATGTCTACTTTTTTAAAAAGATATGAGGAAAAGAGCAAAATACAAACATCATCCCTTTAGTCCTACACAGCAGAATAACCACAATAAAATGTTTTGAGTGCTTATCTGTTCATTTCTTATGTATCAAAGTACTTCTAAAACTCCAAATAGGATACATAAATGCTATAATTTTGTTTGCCAGTAGTATTTTTATGTTATTGAATATTACTCTATATAACTTTAAGTTATAGAGAACTCTATTATCTAAATGTAAGGTAGTTTACTTAAGTCCATTATTCTTTCATTATTAATTTTTTCTAGCCTGACCACAGTTTCCCCTCCCTCCTTCCCTGCTCTCCTCCCAGTCCCTCTCCCCGGTCTCCCTTCTCTCCTCACCACCACCCAACCACTCCTCCCTCCTCTTTCTCTCCAACCTCTCCATTCTCTTCAGAACAGGGCAGGCCTTCCATTAGATATCAACCAAACATGGCTGATCACGGTGCAGCAAGACTAGGCACCTCCTCTCCTATTAAGGCTGGACAAGGTGACCCAGTAGAAGGAAAGGGTCCCAAAAGCAGGTAACAGAAACAGGCCTGCTCCCACTCTTACGAGTCCCGCATGAAGACCGAGATACACAACTGTAACATGCATGCAGAGGGCCTAGGCCAGTCCCCTGCAGGCTCCCTGGTTGTCAGTTCAGTCTCTGTGAGCCCCTGTGAGCCTGGGTTAGTTGATTCTGTGTGGGTTTTCTTTTGGTGTCCTTGACCCCTCTAGCTCCTACAGTCCTTCCTCTCCTGTTTCCACAGGATTCCCCGAGCTCCTCTAATATTTGATTTTGGGTCTTTGCATCTGTTTCCACCAGCTGATAGGTGAAGCCTCTCTGGTGACTATAGGCACCAGTCTATAAGTATAGCAGAATATCATTAGGAATCATTACATTTACTTTTTTTTTTCCCATTAGTCATGTTTGGCTCTATCCTAGGTCTCTGGGCTATCCAGCATCTGGGTTCTAGCCCTCCAGGCAGTGTCAGGAACAGACTCCCACTCATGGTGTGGGTCTCAAGCTGGACCAGTCTCAATGCCCCTTCTTAGCTATTTATAAGTAATACCTCTTGCTGGGTGGTGGTGGTGCATGCCTTTAATCCCAGCACTCAGGAGGCAATGTTAGCCAGATATGAATTAGAGGCCAGACTGGTCTACAAAACAAGTTTCAGGACAGCCAGGACTACACAGAAAAACCCTATCTTGAAAAACCAAATTTTATATATAAAATTTTGGAGTCTGGGATGGGATCTTGGACAAAACAAAAAGGACAATTTTGTGTGTGTGTGTGTGTGTGTGTGTGTGTGTGTGTGTGTGTGTGTAAAATTTGGTTTTATATAGAATATATATATACTATATAATATATAATTATATATATATTTATATATATAAATATATATATAATTATAAGCAATACCTCTGTATTAAATCCATGCACAGTTACAGTTTTTCCTTAGGATAAGAAAAAAAACTAAGATTAATGAAAAATTAAGAAACTATGAAAATTCTATTGTAACCCATCAATAGAAATGTGGGGGAACAAAATAGAATAAGTCAGGTAAGAAATAAGAAATCTTGATCTTGGATGTTTCATTTGAGGTATTATGGAGGAAAAGACCCAAACACAGCTGCAAATGTAGGCTGAAGTGTGGAAGGACTATCACAACAGAGGTGACTACCTGACCGTCATCTACACTGAAGCAATAGCTTAAACCAAAGAGAAAATTTGAACATTAGCATAATGGTTAATATTGACTGTCAACATCATAGACTCTAGGATCACTAAGAGACAAGCTTCCAGGTACACCTGTAAGACATTATCTAGGTTAGTGTAAATGCAGTGGGAAGACTCACCCTGAACTCAGGAAGCAACAGTCCATGGGCTGGGGTCTTGGACAGAACAAAAAGGACTAAGTGTATAAGTACTCATGTCTCTCTGCTTCTTGGCTGGGATCCAATGTTGCCAGCCACTTCAAACTCTGACCAGCACACCTTCCCTGCCATGATGGCCTTTCCTGGCAGACTGAGCCAAAATAAACCCTTCCTTCTTCCCTTAAGTTGCTTTGTCAAGGAATTTTGTCACACACAGCAATGGGACAGTTAACTAATACAATTAGCAATATTGACATTAGTAAGGGCTTAAAGTCACTGAGTGTTGAATGTTCTTTCTGAGCATTTCATGAGACATTTCATTTTAAATCTTCCAAAATCTCTAGAAGGCAGTCCTGTTTCTATCCCCACTTCACAGAAGACAGTAACTCAGGATACTAGAGATTAAATAAAGTGTCCAAGGTAATGTAGCTGGTAGGTAAAAGTTGGATATAAGCCCAAGCCTTCTGATTCTAAAACCTACCCTAACCACCGTTTTGCTACCCTGAGTAAAACAGCAAAACAACAAAGGGAGAGGTCTTTACTGAACAAAATAAGAAAGAAGTGCAATAAGGAGAAGAGAATGTTGTGGGATGTCTTTCTGTACGCTGTGAATATGTGTTGCTCTGATTGGTTGATAAATAAAGCTGCATTGGCCCATGGCAGGGCAGGATGGAACCAGGAGGAAAAATCCAAAAGAGATAGTGAGAGGAGAAAGAAGAGTAAGAGGAGACGACAAACTGCCATCCAAGGAGCAACAGGTAATGGGACGGAGGTAAAGCCATGGAACACATGGTGATACATAGATTAATAGAAATGGGTTAATTTAAGATGAAAGAGCTAGCTAGCAAGAAGCCTGCTATAAGCCACACAGTTGGTAATTAATATAAGCCTCTGAATGATTATTTTATAAGCAGCTGCAGGACCTCAGGGCTGGGCAGGACACAGAAAAACTTCCAGCTACAAGGGAGAGAAAATTTAAAAGGAAAAAAGCTTTCAACCTTCAAAGAGGAGTCAAGGCTACAGGATATATTAAAAAAAAAAAACTGTAACTCACTTGTGTCAATCACAAGTATATATAAAAACTTATGAAGGACTAAAATACAGTCATATGGTAGATATCAAGCTATCCCCAGTTGGGGAATCCTATGCCATGCCCTTAACCAGACTATGATGAAAATGTCCCAGAGATGGAGGTATTATTTTAGCTGTGAGCAGAGCAGAGCCATCATACTTATTTCTTTTGAGATGTTATTTGCATGGCATTAAATCTGCAATTGTTGTGATGCTCACAGTTTGGTGAAGGGCCAGTTGGAACCCTGTTGTAATGGTGTCAATGAAAATGGCCTCCATAGTTTCTTATATTTGATGCTTCATCAACAGGGAATGGAACTATTTGAGAAGGATTAGAAGATGTGGCCTTGTTAGAGTAGGTGTGGCCTTGTAGGAGGACCTGTATCATTGGGGGTGGGCTCTGATGTTCCAAAAGCCCATAGAGATCCAGTTTCTCCCTTTCTGCCTGCTCCCTGTAGATCAGGATGTAAATCTCTCAGGTACTGCTCCAGCACCATGCCTGTCTGCTTTCTACCATGATGATAATGGATTAATGCTCTGAAACTGTAAGCAAGCCCCCAACTAAATCCTTTCTTTTGGTTTATAAGAGTTTCTGTGGTTGTGATGTCTCTTCACAGCAATAGAACAGTAACTAAGATAGAAATTGGCACCAGGGAGTGGCATATTGCTGTGACAGGCCTGAGCATGCTATTCTGTTGGAGGAAGGTGGAAGACTTTTGGACTTTGGGCTAGAAAAGCAATTGGATGCTTTAAGCGGGGATTAATTACTAGTAGTAGCATGGAAGACAGTGGTGCTGAGGGTGACTGTGGACTGTGGGGACCCAGCTTAAGAGTTTTCAGAAGTGAAGAATATTATCAACTGGCCTAGAGACCATTCTTGTGATATTTTGGCAAAGAATATGGCTGGGTTTTGTCCTTGTCCTAGAAATCTTCCTGAGGCTAAAATTGAAGAGTTTAGGATTATTGGCTTTTGCAGAGAAGATTTCAAGACAGCCTAGTATTGACTATGTCAAGTGGTTATTAGTGATCACACTTATGCAGATCTACATTGAGAAGGAACAAACAGGGCAAAGAGAAGTATAGAACTTTAGTCTGAGGGAAAAAATAGCACTAGGAAATGGAACGTTGGAGCCACGTCGTCTGTTTAAGGAAATGAAAAGTTTAAAGAAAAGCTTCATGCTGAATGGAATAAAGGCAAGATGTCACCCAGATACCCTGCAAACTGTGAAAGGAAAAGGCCTGAGGGATTTCCTAGGCCTCAACAACAACAACAGAAATCTTATGCAAATGTAGTTCAAGGAGGTACCCAGTTTCCAGCCCCAACAAGCAACAGAACCTGGCAGCTTTTGCCACGTGGTTCTAGACATAGAGTCAAGAAGGATATAGGAACTGGAATCTCCCTCCATTGTTAAGAAAAGTTACTGAAGCCAGGCATGTGGTAGGGCAGTCCCTGCATGGAGGTCCAGAGAGGAGACTGCATGAAGCTGTAAAGGTGAAGCTGGATTGCCTTGGAGACCACAAGATGTTGAAGATGCCAAAGTCATGGGATACCTTGGCAACTGCTAACAGGAGGTAGAACCAGTCCAAGAGAGATATGAATGTTTCAGTCAGCAAGGCTAGAAGGGAAGAGCATATAATAAACCTTTTAATATTAGACATGGAAATGCAGAATTTATAGTTTGCCCTGCTGGTTTTCAGTCT